TGAGAGTATGTAAGGAATGCTAGGAAAATTTCCTACCATTTCTCTGCGGTACTTTCAGTAGAAGCCCCGTACGTCCCGTCATGCGGAGCGTCTGCAAAACTGCTCTCTGTCGAGATTCTTAAGCCAGGTAAACATCTAGCGTAATGTATGTATAGCAGTGTAGCAGTGTAATAAGGCATCAGACAAACGCGCGGTTACGCTACAGATACACGCTCGGTAATAGATGGGCTGTTTATCTTATCTGAATGGTCCGGATTAAAGCCTTATCACTGGCTTCAAGAACATGGCACCAAAAATTTCAGGGACAGAGTTCCAAAACCGTCTTTGCTTTTATGCTTCACAGAATAGACATTTTTAAGTTCTTTTGAGAACAAGCACACAACAAATAGAAACCAATTAACTTAAATACATTTGCACAAAACAATTATGTACTCAATTCTTGTGGTAATTAGTTAAACGTTATTTGAATTTTAGGCTCGTCATACTGTTCAAATCAGTGTGTAAGTGCCACTTGTCAAGCAGGCTGTGATCCGAGCTGCTCCACATCGACTTCTTCATCCTCCGCCCTTCAATATCCCTCACCAGTAGTTTACCAGCCTCAACCAGTCTATCCCGACAGAAACTCATGGCAATGTCCTGTCTCCAATCACAAAGAACATAGGCAATCCAGTGAACCAATCAAAACACGGGGCAAATGCGTGTCGGGAAAACGTGTGCAAGTAAGTTTCGATAGGTTTCGATTTCACTTCTGATTCGATGACCAAAAGTGCCGTAGCAATGCAAAACCAAAGCAAATGCGAATTACTTTCGACAATCAAGTGAACACTGCTTTAAAGGGATACGGGATGGTGAGATAATAATGGACAGGTATTAAACGTATTCACACACGTTTTAAGTTAACTCAGCGCTGTTTATAACTGTTTGTTATGGTTATTACAACTTTATCAATCATCATAAATTGTTGATGAAATAAGCAGGATATATAAATGTCTATTTATATCTTCAGCTATTTTAATTTGTTTTTCTTTGGGTAAATTAAAGGTCTTAGTCTCCAGGAGACCACGGCTGCCTTATACATATATATGACAGACAGACAATCTACTCGCAGCTCGCTTTAATACCTGTCCATTATTATCTCACCATCCCGTATCCCCGTGTTTTGATTGGTTCACTGGATTGCCTATGTTCTTTGTGATTGGCCAGACCGATGAATGTGGTTTTGGCTTCACAACACTCAACAGGCCTTTTTAGCTTGGCGGTTTGTTTTCTCATCACAGACCACGTGATAGTCTTTAGAGAATTGTTCTGTTAGCAATCTCAAAATTATTCACTCATATAAACGCGAGTACTGAAAGCAAGAATTCTCAAAAGTATCATCAGATGGTCTGAAATGAGACAACAAACCAAATATTAAATGTGTAACATTCTGGGAAGCGCCTCGTAATTGTAATCTCAGGGCGCTTGTATTTATGTCCCTTTCCCTTTTGGGAATTATTCACTCCGCCCAAGCTCAAAAGGGCTATTGAAAACTTTTTTAGTCTGTAACGTCCATAATCCAGTACAATATTTTCCTGCCCAGAGTAGAAAATCTTAAAATTTGCGCCTCATCTGTAATATCATATCCACATTAACTGATTTTTCTTGCCTTAAAAGTCCAGCTAAAACAATCCTTTGTTAGCTGCATGAATTCAAGTCAAGTCCTTGTTCACCTGTAGCAGGTGCAGTGAAGCACGTGCTTTGTTCACAATATTTCGCTCACTTCGTCGCTATTGTTAACTTTCTTCGAGTTCAGGTCCATATCACAATTGACATTTTTCAGATCTGTTTTCAAATGTTCCATGCGGGATCTCAGTCCTTCAACCTGTGCTTTGAAGTCACATTTTACAGCTTTAATCCTCGCCTCCAATGTCTTGAGTCTCTCCTGAACACGTGTCGTGGTGTTAAAATCTCTTGAACTTTTTGATAGTTTTTCCACAGTTCCTTCGCCTGTTTCTTTGTTCTCGCCTGTCGTACCTTCGCTTGAACGGTCTCCTTTTTCGTTTACCATCGGTGAAAAGAATGTAAAGTCTTCAAGAAATGAGTCAACCAGAATCACAAAGGATGACAAAGAAAATGCAAATGACCTTTGTCTGCGGCTGGCCACTGGCTAAGCCTCGATGTTATGCGACAGATGCGAAGGAATACAATTGAAGTTTATTATAAAAAAGATCATTTATTTATATTCTAGGCCATTTTAGCTTGATGGCAACTCCAGAGGAGTAAACAGTTTGACTGCCACTTTGTAAAGTGAAATAAACGGAAAATAAATAATTCGCAGTAAAGTTGGTAAGAAGAGAAAATAATTTCACTTGTGTTCTAGTAATAATATTTAAAAACTTAAATTGAGGCAAGTCTCAGGAGAAATAAGGTTGTTGTAAGCAGGCTCGTCCACGCGGCCTCTCCGATTATTCAACTGAAATCTCGTTCGTCGCTACTGGTGCATTTAGCTTGAAATTTAAACGAAAACTATTTGGTCATAAACTCTGGTTCTCTTGTCCAGATGGAGGAACGTCCACCAAAATATCTTGTACTTAATACTAGGCTTCCGTGAGCGTAAATAAACTTAGTTTCTTCAGTACAAATTTAATGCTTAATTTTCCATTGTCGTATAGATTTTCCTTTTTAGGAAAGTTAATCTAATAGCCTTTGCCAAATCATTTAAATCGCAAATAGATTGCGTTACACTGTGTTTAATTTCTTGAGGAATAAATATAATTTATAGTTGTACACGATCCAAGGATTTTCTGAGTTTTCCAAACAATCTTACCGAGTTATTTTAATAGATACTCTGACCATTCCTCCAATTTCCAAAGTTGATAGAAATCATCCAAATAGCCATGGATCGATTTTATGTACCGATTATCGATTACATTTCTACCTACCCCTTTGTCCAAGG